ATTGCAACAATAATAAAGGACATGCCCTACTTATTGTTAGGGGACTTATTCCTTCACCCACCTACTTCCCTGGTCCTTCTCGCATGAACAGAGAGCAAAAATACCCAAAGTCCAAATGTGCAAACAATTCGATGTTTATTGGGGTGAACTTCCAGCAAGCATGATTCCAGTTTCCTTCCTTAGTGTCCCCCTGCCCAGCTCTGACACCACAGAGCCTTACCTGTGTCCCTGTTCCCATTTCCCCCCTTAGCAAAACTTGATTCCAATTTCCCCACCCCCATTCCCTGTTCCCATTTCCCCCTCTTTACTTCCTGATTGACAGCAGACTACATAGTAAAACTTGAGTTCAGTTTAGCTATACCTTAACCAATCATTTTCCTGAAATTTAACTAACCAAACCTAACGTATTGTAACATGATTATTTAACCAATTTTATCCCACCACCTTAATTAGTTTACACCCAGCAAAATTAGTTATACAGCAGACGGAAACAATCACAGAACCAGACAGAGATTATACAGACAAACAAGAGGGAAATGGGGACTACAATGATAGAACAACACAGAAATGAGGATTTCACATCCCAGCTATTGATAAGTGAGTTCTTGCCAGACAGGATGCTATCAAACTAAGTTTCCTTTTACATTTTCTAGGCACTTCCTTTTCTCTGGAGGTGATAGGCATTATCAGGACAGGTCTGTATTCCTAACAGCCCAATAGCACCTTCTTTCAATGTGACTAGATTGGAATGTGAGGATGTGACCGCTCGCTTCCCAGCTTATGGCTGCCTCTGCTGCTTAGCCAAAGATCTTTGCCTAAGAACAGGGCCTCAGACTGTCACAGTAAGAGAAGGCCCTTACACCAGCAGACAGTGATTTTGATTCTTTCTTGTATACCTCTATCACTAGACAAGTGATAAGAATACACCTAAATTCATAGAGGTAAGGCCTTTACAGACAGGCTTGAATATCTATATCCTAACACTTATCAATGGAACTTTTGACAAGGATTTGAGTGAGAGTAGGTGTAGGCCAAATACTGAGCCTGACCCTCCCAGAAACTGAGCACCTCCTGAAAGGCACAGCGAGGACTTGAATAGGACCCAAGATATGGAAAGCTGAAATTCCAGTCTAAATGGCTAGTTATAACTACTTGTCTACAGTTGTCTACTCTATCAATACGTAGTATGTATATATACAGCATCTATACCTAATGTGTTAACACACAGTGATTCAGGTCCTGTGCTGTAGCTAGGAACTGCTTGTTGCAGGAGAGTTGGGGTCTGTCAGGTAGTTGATTCCCTACCTGATTTGTCAGCCTCCCTAGTGCAGGGTTTCTCAGGCTCCGTCATCCTCATGTTGGCTCTAACCTAAATAAGATTGCAACGATCCCAAGGGGACTGTCTGCCCAATGAGAACAGCAGGAATGCAGAAGTGGCTACGCCCTCTCCAAACTCTAGCACAATGCTTAGACTGGTTCCAACACTGCAGAATGTGTTAGTATTACACCTTCTGAGCTGCACAAAAGGGCTAAAATGAGGAAATATTTATATAGATAAATAAATTTATAAATCTATCTATATCTGTGTATGAGAGGGAGGATACAGGATGCAGTGGGATGGCTATAAAACCTTTATTGCATGGGTTATGGGTAGCTACATTGTGCTTGAGAGACAAAGCCATGAAGGAGTTATGCAGATCATTGCAAGGATATGCTATTAAACATTTATGCCGCAGTGCATCATCATTTACATTGTTCGAACTGCAGAGAAAAAAACTGAAATGTTTGAGAGCTTAAAAAAAGTATTTGTAGTATTTTTTTTCCCTTAGTAGGCTACAAAGTAACTATATGGGGGTGGGGGATGGAAAAACTGTGAAATTATATTTAATCTAAAATTTTCCATTAAATTTTCTGATTGAAAAAAATCAAAATGAAAATTTTCAATTTTGGGGGACATTATTTTGATCTTAACATTTTTTTCCCTTTCTCTTTTCCTTTCTCTCTCCCCCTCCCCTTCAAAAAAGCAGAGGGAAGGAGGTTTGTAAAATGAAAAGAGGAGGGAAAGACTTTTTTCCATTAGAAAAAGGTGGATTTAAAAAGAAGTGGCTTCCCCTCCCCCACAACTTCAAAGGGTTTTTTATCAAAAAATTCAACCAGCTCTGTCACAGAGATCACTTTCCCATGGTAACTGCTTTATTGCTCAGTAACAGGTTTGATAAAATTTGTACAGGTAATTCAATTGTCAAATCCTAATCAGGCTACAAATTAAATTCTAGTGAATAAGAGGTATAAGATACATGTATAATTAATGAATATCCTTTGTCTATTTGATTTGGTTACTGTTTGGTTACTAGCTTGATGTCTGCTATATGGGTGCAAAGAAGTAACTCAAGCCTGTGTGTAGGTTGCACATCTGCAGGAACCTAAAGTCAATGGCTCTAGACAGTCTCAATCACAGGTTCTTAACTGAAAATACAGTGTCAAGGCCTTTTCTTGTTTTGTTTCTGTCCAGGGGGAGCGGGAGTTAGGGAGGGGCACAAACAACCCCTGGTTTAGGACTGAGCCAGGGCCCTTCAGGTGAGAAATCTTTAAACAAATAACTTGGAAACTGTCAAAATCCTCAACCCTGATGCAGGGACAAGGTCTGAAGGGAAACAGGCTGTAACATGTTCCCCCAGAGGACTGTGGAGATACTATCAGGGATGAATCAGGCATATCTAAGCCTATCATTCCTCTCAAGACATAGGGTATGTCTACACTACAATCTTAAATTGACCTATGTTGGGTCAACTTGCGGCCACAGCAGTAATTACAGTGATGTCCACACTACCCTCCTTCTGTTGGTGGTGCGCGTCCTCACCAGAAGCACCCCACTGACTGAAGAGGGGCAGTGTAAAGGGCTGAGATCCAGGGCTCTCAGCTCCACACAGTTCCCTGATGGGAGCCCAGCTGCCCCCTAGGGCTTCTCACCTCCAGTGGCAAGATCCACTCCCAGAGTCCGGTCAGCTGCTGTGCTCCTGGCAGGAAGCTGGAAGCCAGGAGTCTGGAGAGGAGCAGGGCTCCCAGTGAGGAGCCCAGACAACAGCTGATGTAAGAAACTCAACGTCTACACAGGTTTCAGAGTAGCAGCGATGTTAGTCTGTATCCACAAAAAGAAAAGGAGTACTTATGGCACCTTAGAGACCAACAAATTTATTTGAGCATAAGCTTTCATGAGCTACAGCTAAATACACCAACAGAAACTCTACGCTTCTCATGGAGGTGGAGTTATTATGCTGGTGTAGTAAGGCTATACTTACATCGACAGGAGCAAGGCTATACACATTGACATAGTTAAGTCAACATAAGCTGCCTTATGTCATCCTAACTTTGTAAGGTACATCAAGCCTTAAGTAAGACAATATGCATGTAGGTCTTTTTGTTATGTTTATCCCTTTCTTTCTGATTGCTATAATCAGATAGACACTTTTTTTTGAAGAAGCTGTTTGGTGTTCTTGCATTTACCTACTGTGCACAGCTCCTGAAGAGAAATCTATAGCAGGGGCCAAGTCCAGTTGGACCTGCTGTGGAAACATGATTGCTAAATGGGTGCTGTAGCCGAGAGACCCACTCTAAAAATGGGGGTGACTTCCAGGATTTCAGTCTGAGAGAAGTGCATATGCTGGTCCTGTCCCTTGAAAGGGGTGCCGAAGGAAAGACTGAGGGTCAAAGGTACAGCTAACCCTGGACAGCACGTCTTAGAGATTTTCATATCAAACAATCCAATTTTCATCCTCCCTGTTCCTTCTGATTATGGGTGAGTAGTCTGAGTCAAGATAGAGTTTCATCAAAATAATAATTAAAAATGTCATGTTGAATACCCGATAAAGTGAGCTGTAGCTCACGAAAGCTTATGCTCACATAAATTGGTTAGTCTCTAAGGTGCCACAAGTACTCCTTTTCTTTTTGCGAATACAGACTAACACGGCTGCTACTCTGAAACCTACTATAATATAGATTTTCAGTGCACAGCATTATTAGCTAAGCTAATACATTATAGATTTTAGCAGCATATTGAAAAAATTATTTGTGGTTTTCAGCCTCAGCAATTTACAAGGGATCTTTTCATTTCAATAGTATTTCTGTTCTGAAAGGAAGAGTATAAATAGTCATTACATTCTTAAATCAAATGGGTTTTATTTCTATTTGAAAAAGTAGGGAACACAATTGTGTATGGCTTGTGGTGGCTGCTATTCCCTGCCATTTGCACTCTGAAGTTTTGAAGACACACTGCTTTTGCCGTTGTGCCCCCTCCATACTTATAAGTCAATATATGTTTACTGGTCTTGTTTACGATCTCATTCTAATAATATGTCATATGGGGGAGGGGCGGGGGAAAGACTAAATTGGCTCACTGATATTTGCCTTGATTGATATGATAAACTCCAAATTGACCAAGTCACTTAACCTCTTTGTGCCTCAAAATACACCTCTATGAAATGGACATTATAAGGGAAGGTTTTCAAAGGCACAAAAGAGAATTAGACCACCAACTCTCTTTTGAACCTTTGAAAATTTTTTTCCCCCATATTGACCAGCCTCACAGGGGTATTGTGAAAGAGCTTTGAGATTCTTGGATAAAATGTGCTATTCAACTGTAAAAATGATAAGGAATTTAAAATAACTTATTTGGAGACTGCAGAAATGAGCATCTTTGGTTCTAATGACCACAAATATTATTCAACAGTCCAGAAACCAAGGACCATTCTACATCTGTTTCATATGGTGGGTTTCATTCCAGGTACAAGATAAGAGAGTGGATCTTATACCCTGTGGAGAGAACTCTAAAATGAATGTCATTTACATGTACAGCTTACAACACATTAAATTCATTTTAACTAGTTTTATTTTGTTTTGTTCCAGTGAATATACAGCTCAAATTCTGCAGTGTTACTCATTGTGACTTTGAAACTGTGGCAACTCTCCCCTGAGTGTTGTTAAGATTCATGGGATGAAGAAGCATGGCGTACTTTTGGAAAATGCCTTTGACACAAGATGAGTTACACGAAGGACAATCTGAGGACCAAGCGTCTTCCTTTATGTATCATTTTAATCCTGATAGCCAGGTCAGTCTAGGACTTGACCAAATAGTTGGTGAAGGCAGCAGTGAAATACCCTTTTATGGTCCAGCATATACACATGACCTTGAAGAAAAGGAGTTTTTCTCAGATGCAGCAGAAGAACATTTATACGGAGTAAATCCACCTCAAATTCCTCATAGGGACCTTTACTTTGGAAGCTCCACCTCTCACTGGCAGCAAGTCAGGGTGCCACCAACAATTGGCTTCAGACCTTCTTTGCTATCCGGATGTAGTGACCTCTCCGTTGAGAATTCCTACCCCACATACCCCATTGGAACACTTTATGACTATGATCCATATGGAAGAAATAACTTGAGTCCAACTACAGATGAATTTGGGTCAGATGTGGAGAAAGAGAATAAAAATCTGAATTTCTATATAGGCTTTGAACATATAGACTATCAACATCCCGTTTTCTCAGACGACAATGCAAGTGGACAAGGAATGAAAGATAAAAGGAGAAATGACAGTAAAACTTGCCTTGTGAGCTCTGGGGAAACATACTTAACAAACCCTCCTAGAGAATTGACCACAGGACCTGTCTGGCCCAGCATTTCTGCAAACAGCTCTGCAGACAGCACAGAGGTATGTGCCAAATTTGTATGGTTGAAAGACTTAAAGATCTTGGTTTTGACTGTCCTCTGCCTTGCATCTTGTGTACTCACCCACACCTATGTGAAGTGCGTGAGAAATGGCTCTAATTCTGCACATGTCAGTGGGCTTTAGATCAGGCCCACTGAAGTCAATTGAAAGAATTGCAGTGATTTTAATGGGCTTTTGGATCAGGTCTTAAATAACGACACATGATGTGAGGCAGTGGATAATCAGGCAGGAATATTATTTTTCTTGGCACTCAGTTTTTCCTGTAATGCTTTTATATGTTAAAGAGGAAGCTACCTTTATAAACAAACAGTCCATTGACTCTTCTTGATGATTAGTTGGGAGGAAAGCTTCTAAATTTTACTTCCTTGTAGAATCTCCTCGTATAAAATAATCTGTCTTTTCAGTCAGAAGAGAACCGAGCAGCCCATAAGAAATCACTTTAGAAGGGAAAGGAGACTGCTTAGTCTAACTAATAAGAATTTTATGTTGGCCAGATCTGTCCCACATCTTACTTGTGGCTTCCCGAACTTATACTTAAATGTGTGGACTTATCTCTCCCATCTGCCCATTAAAAAAAGCTGGTTCATTTTTTAAGGTAATGGAACCAGTTTCTCTACTGATGTAATTGGTTTAACTCCATTGATTCTAATAGGACTAGGCTAACTTGGACTAGCTGAGGATCTGGTTTGTGGTCCAAAATACTCCAATGCTGTTTATTATAGTAGTGCGCTTTTGGACCATTAGATTGTTTGGATCATTGGACCATTACTACTGTAGAGCAAAGTATTGTAGGGTGGGCTCCCCCCAGCTTTTTTACAGAGGTAACAAAAAATTTATAACAGCAGGGAATTATGCTGAATCTGTTTTGCTGTGTAGCCAAATTTACTATCTCTATCCCTGTTCAAACTGACTTGTCCTAATCCTGAGATTTGGCACAATGACTAATTTGACCTCACTCTGCTTGCTTTTATGTATGTATATTTTTGAAATAAATATCTTTTACTGTAACTGAACAGGTCTTCAGAAATCAGATCTCTTGATGATACTCTCTGGCTCTTGCTGTCTTTTTGAACCAAGTTTTTTCTCTTTCTTTTGCCTTCCTTCATGCGTTCAGTGCTCCATTCGAGAATATTTGGGGGGGATGAGGGAGGGGCGTTAATTTCCTTGTTTTCCAGGTCTCCATTTCCCTCTTTGATGTTGTCCCTCCTCACCCTCCTCTCTTCACCCTGTCCTTTCCACAACTTGACATTTTTCCCTTCCTCATAATGGTGACCCCCACCCACCTCTTGGTCAGCATTCTGAAATATTTCGGGAATCGTGAAGTATCCAGATACATGTGGGGAGAAGTATGTCAAATCACTCTACAGTGACCCTTTTCAGATAGCTAGGGCACGATGCGGCAAAGTGCTGAGCATCTCTTGACCTTACTCAAAGCAGAACATGCTGAACACCTTGCAGGATCAGACCTTGGGGAGTAAAGTTGACTTTTATTATAGACCTCCGTCAAGACACCAGTTCAGACCACTTCGCAAAAGGTGAGAATCACACCAAGGTCTGGAGTTTGTGGTTTGTGCCTCTCTCTGGTGTTTACAGGCTGGAGAAAAATCTATTCCTCCTCAGATAGTAAGACTGTGGTTGACTGCACAGAGATCTGATGGTGGTTTTTAAAAGGGTGAAATAACAATTTCTAATTTATTTGGTGCCTTTCCTCCTGGAGGTCCACAAAGCAGATTGCAAAGGGTAGCTGCAGCTAGGAGCAGTGATTACTAGGAAAGTCTATCTTTTCCCTTGCATACTCAGAGTGGAACATGCTCATTCACTCTGTGAGAACAGTGCAGATGCATTCTGGTCACATGTAGGTGGTATGAGGGGACAGAGCATTCTCATTGGGGATGGAATCTTCAGAGATAACAGCTGTTGAATTCTGCACTCAGCATCTGCAAACAGATTTTTCTAAGGCTTCTAACTTGGCCAAATGTGGGCAGATTTCATGGGAACAACAAAAGATCATCTCCCTGCCACATTTCAAGTCTCTGCTCCAAAGCATGCAGTCGGACGAGCTTCTTCAAGAAACAGTCTTGAGAAATTTTTAACATGGACAAAATGTATTTTTCCCCAATTCATTCTTGGAAACAACTGAACCATTTTGGCTGGAACTCTTTTGGGGAAAAATCAGAGTGAGGCACAAAGATGGCATGGAAAATTTCAGCCTCAATTTTTAAAGTCTGACAAAGTTATGTTTGATGCAAACCTGCAGCCAGACCAGGGCTGGACACACAGCTGCCATGACTCCCCCTTCCAACAGAGCCCGCAGTAACTCATGGCTCAGGGACGTTGCAGCAACTCAGCTACAGTGATTTATCCCCTAAGCAGAGCTTACAGTGAGTCAGCACTCAGGTTTGCTGTAGCAGCATATACCCGGTCAGGGCCCAGGTCATATGACCCCCAGGCACAAGTATTTCACTGACCCCGCCAGAGCTTCAAGTTAGTCCATGCAACAGCAGTACTCAGCCAGGAACCTTTATGCTTCTGCACAGTATTTGACTTCCTCGGCTTCCAGCCTTCCCTTGATCCAGTTGTTGTTCCTGCTCCACCCTTGTCCTAGACTTGTTCATTGCTGTTTCAGCCTTGTCCGTGCCCTACTCCAACCATACTCCAGCCCTACACCTGCCTCCTGGTCCCCCAGACTCTGACTTCCAGCTGGCTTCGACCTTTGGCCTGCATCTGGACTCTAATTAGGATCCTATTTGGCTTGTCTACAGACTCTGACCTCAGTTCTGACCCACAGCCTGTCCCTAGCCCTTGGTTTCGGCTCTGCCCTCAGCTCGGTCTTGATTTGACCCTTGTACCTGTTCTGGACTATGGCTCTAATCACCAGTTCTGACTGCCTCGAACCCAGAGCCTGACAAGCTGTAGTCACTGACCCTAGAGAAACATTTAAAACATTGATGTTCCATACAGAAGACTACAAATCCGTAATATTTTACAAATAGAAACAAAAATTAAATTACGGACTGCTGAGGATCATAGTGCATTGTATTTGCTGAGTTACCAATGAAATCTTTTGATACTTCAGTGGAATCCAGTGGGTGATTTATGCTCACTGGAGTCCCATCTAAGTAAGTGAAATTGTGCTGAGGTGTGAGGATTTAGCCCTCATGAAATCTATTGCAAGATGATGTTGCTGAACTCACTAGATGATTCAGTTTTCCTTAGGTAAATAAAGTGAGCTTTATTTCTTCTGGTTTAATTTTGGTATTTTTAGCTTGCAGATTGGTCTATCCAGCTGGTTGAAGCGGATCAAGGGAGTAATGAAAGTATTGCCTCCTTCTGCAATGGAGTGAAGAAGTAAGTAATGAAAAAACTTTATTCAACCAACTGTGACATTTATCTCACTAATATTAATTGGATGATTATTTCTGAACAATGCCATAATTTCAATGTCTTTTAAATAAGGAAAAACTCTTAATTTTGGTTTAGAGATGAATATGAACGAGGAAGTGTGGTAGAAAAAATATTTTCTCTCCTTACCTCCCTTTTTGTTACTAAGAAGTAAATTGACCTCTTCAAAATTGATGTTTTTCAGTGTATTGAACATAAAAGATGTTTCATGCCACCTTTTTGACCAGCTCTAGTGCCTCTGGGGTTTGCAGCCAGAAATTGAAAGTTGGCTGGGAGATGATCCTGGTACTGGAGAAGTGTTTTTTGTTCTCATGAAAACTGTGTTTTGGCCAAGTTTTAAAGTTTTGGATAATTACCATCTGCACATGTATAGTAGAGCAGAATTGGCACTTGTCCCTTAAATTTTCTAAACAGTTCATCTGCACTGCATATATTGCCACGCCTGAAGTTAACTGCCTGCCTGCTCACTCATTTTCCTTCAGCAAAATACCCTCTTGCCTAAGTAAAGGTGCACTGGGCTGGGAGCCTGAATATCATGAGTTCAAATTTCATCTGTTCCATTGATAAGCCCTGATTATTGAGCACAAGCTGTTCATTAATGTCCAAGCACTCCTCTCCCAAAGCCGGGGATAGAACCTCAGAATCTTGATACCTAACATTCCACTTTTGTCTAGAAAACAACAGTGTAACCCACTGACAAACTGTGTTACATTCCACTCCAGTGGCTGTTCCACTTAGAGGATAATAGGCTATTATTGCTACCAGGTACTACCTTAGTGTTCCAACCCTGCTGAGTTGGATAGAGTTGGGCTGTTACAGTCCCATATGGTAAAAATTTCTTTTCTTTTTTCTTTCAGTTTTCTTTTTAAAAAACTAGAAATTTCATTTTTTTAAAACCAAGAACATTAAGAAATATAAGATTGAAGGTTGCCCATACAACCTCAGTTGAGTCCCAGTATTTGTATTTATTATGATAGTCTTTAGTAACATGGTCACATACTATTTTTCCCCCAACGACCCATTTTAGGTATTTAAATATATATAATCCATTTAAATTTAGATATTGAGTCAGTTTTTTGCAAGGTCTGTCAAGACCTGTCTTCATAAAAATGTTTTCTAATTCATGTTAATGGCTCTCAAATTAGCTGAATATATTTTTAGCTCCGTGAGGGGGTTGTCCATCCCCCAAATATGCTGCATCAGAGATTTCTCTGTTTCCCTTTTTTCATAGTGCATCAGTCTGACTCCAGACCCCATTCTAATAGCATCAGATTCATGAAAGCCTATTCCACATTACATACTTTCCTGTCAGATACTCAGATTGTTCTGTCCAAACATACATTTAACTTTTTACTCCACTTACAGGAAAAGCCTCCTATTGATTTTCTGAATTAATGAGTTTATTTACAGCGTTAGGAAGATTAATTTCTATTAATCTGTTTCTACTTGGTCATAGCTTGTTTTGTGTGTGACGGTGGCAAACCCTTTCTTTTTGTTTTATCAAAATAAGAAAGCATCCTGAGGAGATAATGTCACACTAAGGAAAAGACCAAGAAAAATCTCAAATAGATTTGCACACAACTAACCCATTCAGTCTTACTGAGCTTCCCCCAAGTCCCTAAAAAATCTTAGTAACTATCAGGTTTTATAAATCAGAGGCAAGATATATAATTCAAACTCTACATCATGCAAACTTACAGCTCCAGCTAGTAACTCAAATAGAAACCCATTATATTTTTCTCCAGGTAATATTTGTACAGGTGGCAATCCATAATTGAAATGTTTCATTGTATACATATCAACTTTAAAGCAGTTTCCATAATCTCTTTACCAGGTTTCTTGGTACAATTATGGAAAAGGCTTTAGCAAATGTTCTTCCATGGATAGTTTCAGAATCCTTTTTCAAATGAATTTGACACTGGTGAAAAATGCCAAATTGACAGTCTCAAGGTTCACTGCTATGAGGTGTTGAATTTCTTCAACTCCTACTGATTTCATCAGGAGCAGTATTCTTGCCAGGGCAAGTTAAAGAAGTATGGATTGGATGAATGGACTATAAGGTGGATAGAAAGCTGGCTAGATTGTCGGGCTCAATGGGTAGTCATCAATGGCTCCATGTCTAGTTGGCAGCCGGTATCAAGCAGAGTGCCTGGGACCGGTTTTGTTCAGAGTGATCTAAACAAATTGGAGGATGGGCCAAAAGAAATCTGGTGTGGTTCAACAAGGCCAAGTGCAGAGTCCTGCACTTAGGAAGGAAGAATCCCATGAACTGCTATAGGCTGGGGACCGACTGGCTAAGCAGCAGTTCTGAGGACCTGGGGATTACAGTGGACGAGAAGCTGGGTATGAGTCAGCAGTGTGCCCTTGTTGCCAAGAAGGCCAACAGCATATTGGGCTGCATTAGTAGGAGCATTGCCAGCAGACCGATGGAAGTGATGATTCCCCTCTATTCAGCACTGGTGAGGCTACACCTGGTGTATTGTGTCCAGCTTTTGTCCCTCCACTACAGAAGGGATGTGGACAAATTGGAAAGGGTCCAGCAGAGGGCAACAAAAATTATTAGGGGGCTGGGGCACATGACTTATGAGGAGAGGCTGAGGCAACTGGGGTTATTTAGTCTTCGGAAGAGAAGAGTGAGGGGGGATTTGATAGCCGCCTTCAGCTACCTGAAGGGTGGTTCCAAAGAGGATGGGTCTAGGCTGTTCTCAGTGATGGCAAATGACAGAACAAGAAGCAATGGTCTCATGTTGCAATCGGGAGGTCTAGGTTGGATATTAGGAAATACTATTTCACTAGGGGGGTGGTGAAGCCCTGGAATGGGTTACCTAGGGAAGTGGTGGAATCTCCATCCTTATTCGTTTTTAAGGCCCGGCTTGACAAAGCCCTGGCTGGGATGATTTAGTTGGTGTTGTCCTGCTTTGAGCAGGGGATTGGACTAAGATGACCTCCTGAGATCTCTTCCAACCCTAATATTCTGTGATTCTATGAAATAACCTTATAATGAAGAGAATTATACAGAGAACTATGCCACAAAATGTACTGTAATCAGAGACCATATAAAATGCTGCCAACTCAACATACAGTATGCTGCTTGAGCACAAAAGAAAGCAATGTGCTTACTAAAGAATATTTTATTTTAGCTACTAAAAATGCAGGTCAATTAGTGAAATGTAAAGCCTCAATTGGTAGGATATGTACTCTTATCTGATGCAGTAGAGTGTATTTGCAGGTTCAATCCCAGCTGAGAATCATGGTGTCTCTAACTTTCAACGACACGCCAAAGGGGACTTGAAATTGACCTCTGGTAATTGGAAGGAGAGGCAGTATATAATTCACTTATGTAGTCTCAGATTTCCCTTTAGTGGCTTGACTTAGTGACTAGAACAGTTTACCTATATACATCTACAGGAGTTTCCTTAAACTTAAATAGGAGAAGCCTATATTTCTGCTGATGAATGTTCCAGGTTTGATCCTAGAGCTGGTTGAAAACAGATACAATTTTTTGTGTGTCAGATTTTGCACAGAAAATGTGCCCTTGCTTGTTGAAGAATTTTGAAATGTTTTGACTCGCTGTATTCAGTCTTTGCTGAGGCCTTAGTATCTGTAAGTTTATGTGCCCAAAGCTAGTTACACTATCTTCTTAGAAATCTGTCATTAAGAACATTGCTTTAATAGAACAAGATGAGAGTGAATATATAAGAGCAAAATCTATGGAACTTGGAAATTGTAAAGAGAATAATAACACACACTTCTGTTTACAGCGGTCAGGCTTCTTACCAAAAGGTTTACCCTGTGATCAAACCTAATAAAAGATCATGACGGCAAAGTCCTCACTAAGGGTGATATTAAATGCAGGTGGAGAGATTATGGTGCCAATCTATATGCCTCCCCAGAACCACCTATGATACAGGACAACAGAAAAGAGAGAATGAGACATTAACCCTGTGAGAGTAAGTGGTGTGTGCTATTAGGAAAGTGAAGACTGAGAAACACCAAAGGTAGACAACATGCCTGAAGAATTGTTAAAAAATGATTGGCAAATGCAGTGCTGATTATATATGGAAAACATATAATTATGTACGGATGACTGGAAATTGGCCAGGAGAATGGACAAAGGGAATTTCTATGCCCTTACCAAAGAAGGGAGGCATAATAGAGTGTAATAACTATCGTACATCTCCTTGATGTTGCATGCAGGCGAAATTCTGCTCTATATAATCCAGGATCACAAGCAACAAACAATAGAAACAGGAATACCACCAGAAAAAGCTGGTTTCTGAAAGGGCCAAGTCACACATGATCAAACTGAGGATATCCACAGTCTCATTGAAAAATGCAGAGAGTACAAGCACACATTGAGTATGTGCTTAATTGGCTACTCAGAAGTATTTTACACCATCCAGCATGACAGTTTGTATCTTTGAAGGATACTGGCAGACAAAGCATCTAATTGAATTTATTACAAGTCTGTAGCAGACCACAGTGCAGATAGCAATAGGCAATGGTGAGTGGTTTTCCACTGGGCAAGGTGTGAGGCAACCATGTATTTAGTCTCCAAGACTCTAACATATGTATACAGGATTTATTATGAGATGAACCTTAGATAGTTTTGACAAAGTGAAAGGAGCTGGGATTTCCATTAGTGAACATCTCTTAGCTAACCTAAGGTATGTTGACATGACGCTCTTTTCTACAACCACCAATGCAATAAATGTTGGAGTCTATGAAAATAGTTTGTGTGGAATATGGACTATTCCTGTATGCGATGAAAACAAAGTGCTTGTACCTTGACATGATTAACAAAAATGAGATGCAAGTGGGCATCAGGATTAACAGACAAACTGTAGTGGCAGTAGATGAATTTAATTATCTGGGATCATATATATCCAACTAAGGATGCTGTTCTAAGGAAATTGGTAAAAGACTAGGGATGGCTTACTCAGTTATGGTCTCCCTTAAGAAACTGGAAAAACCATGGCATCTCAAAATGTATGAGGGCGTGACTCATAAAAAGCCTCATTTTTTTTCCATAGTGATTTATAGATGTGAAGCTTGGGAAGTTAATGCTGCTGACAAGAAGAAAATTGCAGCTTTTGAAATGTGGTGCTGGTGAAGACTCTCTTGCATATCCTGCAGATAGGCATTCATCTTTTTTTCTATGTTAGAAATATTGTTGGAAAGAAGCAGACCCTGATGTCAGAAATCAGTCGCAAATGTATGTATTTTGGTCCCATTAGGTACAGAGATGGAAGCGGGGGAGGGAATCATAGCAGACGGCAACCAGTGAGGAGATGGATGAATGGTGTGTGGCAAATCACTGGAAGGTCACCTTACTGAGTGCTTGAAATTCAGCAATGGATTGAGAAGGCTTCCAAAAATTCTGCTATGATGTCACCATTATTCGGACATGACTAAATGGGTTTACTTAGTTTAACAGAATACACTCGTTGCACCATGGTGAAATTATTTTGATCACAATACAGTGACGTCTCTGGCTAAACTCCTTTTGACTTTAGTGGGATTAGGATCAGACCCACACAGTGATTCTGTTCATAATATTGCATACTGTAATCAATGGAGATTTTACCAGTGGTTCTCTTATTTAATAAAACATGAAATAGGCAACAGTTATCTCACCGAGATGTCTGACAGAAGTAGATTTGTTCATAGCATCAATGTACCCTTCATCATCATGTATTTTTTTCCCTAATATCTAACTATACTGTTGTTTTTGGCATATTGTGGTAGTTTTGTCTTAAGTGACAGGAGAGACAAATCTATAAATATATCATATGTTCTCTCCAGAATCAGAGACGCATATCCTGCTTTTGATTTGAAGACAAATACTGGGAAGATTTGGAGTGTCACAACAACATTATCAGATGAGATCCTTTGTAAATCAAAATTCAAAGTTAGCATTTTGACAAACTGTTCGTCTCCTCCACTGCATCTTACACCATGTGGTAAGTGCTTTGGGTTTCTTTAGCCTTCCAGAATTCAGTTCTTCAGTTCTACTAAAATACACAAACATCTTGTGAGGTACTTGGTACCATTCCATTTTAAGGTTGTTGTTGTTTTTTGGAGGGAGGGTGCGGGGTGGGGGGAGCAGATTGAAAGTGCCAATTGTTTTTTTTTTTTTTCAATTTTGCATGAAAAACAATCAGCATTGATTGGCCTGATCTAAATGTAAGTAGCTTAAATATTTTTGGTCCAGATTCACCAATATGATCCGGCTTCTTTGTGCTACTTTAGTTTAACCGGTTGGTTAAGCCAGGCTCACAGCTGCCTTGTGTCACTAAGGCAGTACAAAGCAGCCAGTGCATAAATGTGAATCTGGCCACTTTTATTTTTAAGGCCTTCAGTTTGATTGTGAGCATTTAATTTTTCTGTCTGCTCTCCAAGAGATCACTAAAACACAAATGGTCTTAACACCTTAAACTTTAAAATGAACCTTTAAAATGAACATTTTAATTTTTCTTTTAGCAGTAAGGAAATAGCATGAATGAAGAATTGAAATGAAAATCAACCTCTGCTTTGGTGATTCGGATTGTTAGCTTTGGGCAATCAGATTGTCACAGAAGTTTGGAAGGAATTATTTTCCCTGTGTGCTGCATTGCACAATTGACTAGGTATATTGTGGGAGATCTCTGCCTTCATTCTGAAGAATCAGATGCTGGCCATTGTTAGAGGGAGTGTATCAGACTTGAGACACCAATAATCTAGTCTGGTAGGGCAAGTTCTTTATGCCTATAAAGGCAAATTTAGTTACTTATATTGTGATTTGCTTCCCAGAATTCACAATCCAACTATACATACATCTTTTCTGATTTTGGATCAGATACTCAAAAATGGGGGGGGGGGAGAAAATCTCCGAAATGGAAAGTGGCCTAAAAATTTGGAGCAGGGTTATGGAAGAATGTAACTACTAGAGTAGATTTATCATGGGCTGATTGCACAAATCTTTGTATCATTGCTGTGCTCATTGCATATGGCTACATGAAATGGATGTGGCTGGTTGCAGTGACAAACAAATCTCTGGCATAACCTTGGGTCTTGTGCAGGCGCAGAGCCTTCATCATGCCCTCTTTTTTTGCATTAGGTTGTATTCACTTTTGAGAATAGTACACACAATTTCAAGAGGGGAAAACTGAGTTTATAGATTTCAGTGGGAATAACTAGTTTTTTGGTTCTGCTATCTCTGATTCAGAATTGATAAGTTTATAATTCTAGATTCCTGACAGACTCTCCTGTTTCTTTCAAAACCGGGGTGAGGTCAGTGACTTGCTAGGATTGTATGAATGACAACTCAATCTTCCTCAGAGCGTGTAAAGCCAGAAAAAAATTATTAAATAAGGTGTGGTTCATTCTAATTCCTCTAGGTGGAGCTATACTGCAGCAAAAGTTAGCAGTCACATTATGACTTCCATTTTCTCTGCTCAACGATATAGCCTGCAGCTCTCTACCAAGCTGCTATTAATTTTTTCTTCTTCTCTTTGTTTACAGCTAGCTGTATTGTCCGCAACTTAATTGTAGAGATTCTCCATTGTACAAATCAATATCCAGCCCAGGAAGAGTGTTTTCTAAGTGTTTATGGGTGTGATGAATTTTTGCAAAAGTAAGTATCTCATTAAGAGATGGTATTGATTACGTATTCGATCATTTAAGCTATGCACCTGAATACTGATGTACTACATTTGTAAACAAAACAGATCCAAAGGGAAAGATGCAAAAGCAATGGTTACATCACTAATCTTAGATCCCACCTTCCTCGAGCCTCGGAAGGTATTGAACCATGGAGTTTGGTTCATGCCTATCTCAAATTGTGCTTATACTGTAGGGTACTGAGAAGGGAATGTGGTCTAGAGAAATAAGCATGAGACAGGGAGCTAGTACTCCTGAACTTGAATCTCAGCTCTTCTATTTACTCCCCCCGTGGCCTTGTACAAGTTATTTCATCTCCCTGTCTGCCTCAGTTTCTTCATCAGCATCTCTTTTTTTTCTAATGCCAAGGTTGCATTGGGCTGAGCTGTCTGTTTCTCCATCCATAAAATGGGGATAACATTGCCAACTTCTTACTGCAGGGATGTTATGAGGATGAGTTAATTAATGTTTGTGCAGCTCTTCAAAGATGTACACCACTTAATACATGGGAAGTATGATTATGAAACGTTGCCTACTGGGACAGCGTTTCTTTCCATCAGTGTAGAGAAAGTGAAGACACCCAGCTGTCGCTGAATGTCCGGTTGTGAAGAGAGAACATACATGGCAGAAAAAGGCCTTTTTGGGTATCACTAGCCAGGAACTTTTGAACTTAGAAACTACTTGAAGTTGGATGATGATATACACATGTACTAGTTTCAGAGGAACAGCCGTGTTAGTCTGTATTCGCAAAAAGAAAAGGAGTACTTGTGGCACCTTAGAGACTAACCAATTTATTTGAGCATGAGCTTTCGTGAGCTACAGCTCACTTCATCAGATGTAGCTCACGAAAGCTCATGCTCAAATAAATTGGTTAGTCTCTAAGGTGCCACAAGTACTCCTTTTCTTTTTACATGTACTAGTTGTAACTTTTATAGGTTTCTCCCTCACTAGTAACTGATTTCACATGTCTGTGATGAATTATATTTTGCAACTCAGGGTGTAGGGTTTGGTCATTTAGACCTCACTGTGCGTGATTCTCCAAGTGCTTACACCTGCATAAAACAAGACAGTATTGTTATGCTGGTGTAAAACTGGAACAAGTGACAGGCAATTCAAGCACCTTACCTCCATTACTTGATCACACTGTTGCATAAGAGAGACTGGGTTTGTTTAGAAGGGGGGGAAAAAGCTCTTTCTCATTTCAAACTAATTGCTAACGAAAAAATAACAAGTAATTGTACTTAGGATGAGCTCACTGTGTCTCGGTACAGTGTACAGTACGTTCTGAACAGTTTATTTTCACTTTTGGAAGAACTCATCAATAGGGAACTGCTAAATTCCTGCACTTGCAGAATCTCTGCATGTCTCATTAGCAGCAAAACAAGGTCAATAATGTTCTCAGCTGCTTGCTTTGCTCCTTCAGTGTAGTGCAAAAGGCATTGAGCTGCAGTTCTGGCCTCAACTGCTGTAATTCTATGCTATGCTGTGCTTTCATCTTCCCCTTTTTCCTGCCTCTTCCTGATCATCCTCAGCGTGCTCTAAAAGAGATCTTGAAACCCTAGGCCAAACTCATCCCCAGGGCAACTTAATGTGAAGGCTGAAGGATTACTTGAAGGATCAATTTGGCCCTGTATCTGAGATGTCTATGAATGTGAGCTGCTCTTTCCCCACTCCCTTGTTGTTAATATAGATGTAAAATCAGAAGTGCTCATGCAAAATTCTTCTTGGAATACGTCAGTGCTAAATTCCAGAATAATCTCTCCAAATCATGTTTGCAGTGCTCTCTGTAGCTGTGTTAGTCCCAGGATATTGGAGAAACAAAGTGGATCAGGGAATATCTTTTATTGGACCAACTTTTGTTTGTGAAAGAAGCAAGCTGTTGAGCTACACCAGTGGTTTTCAACCTTTTTTTTTTTTTTTCATTTGTGGATCCCTAAAAGATTTTGAGTGGAGAAACGGACCCCTTTGTAAATCTTAGACATAGTCTGCCGACCCCCAGGGATCCATGAACCACAGGTTGAAAACCACTGAGCTGCACAGAGCTCTTCCTCAGGTCTGGGAAAGGTACTTAGAGTGTCACAGCTAAATACAAGGCAGACCAGATTGTATGGCAAAAGTAGTTAACACATACTCTTAAGAGACCATTCAAGTGGCCCATTAACTGATCTACACAAAAAGAAAAGAAGAAAAGGGAAGAGGGGGTTTAGTGGGCTACAGATTGTGTAATAAGCTATAAATAGAGTATCTTTATTAAGATCATGCTTTTTAGGGTCTACCAAAGTTGTGAATTTAAGCTCCCATGTCTGTCTTGTGAAGGTCTTGTGCAGGTGGTAGGTGTTGTTTTTTTGTCTTTATTTTTCTGTGTGAGTTCGTTTGAGAGTGTAGTAATTGTCTCATTTCACTCACATAGTCGTTATTGGGGCATTTAGTGCACTGGATGAGGTACACCTTGTGTTGATAGGCATGTGTAGGATCCATGGATCTTGAAAGGTGTGTTGTGGGGGGTATTGAACATTATAGCAGTGGAGATATGCTTGCAGGGTTAGCAGCTATTGTTATGGCAGAGTCTAGTGCTACTTTGATGTGTCCTGGTCCATGGGGAGCTTGATTCTGATGACGAACTTGGTAAGGTTTTTGAAGACCAGAAGGCGGGGGAGGGGGAAAGAGCAGGAAAGATTTATTTCAGAAAGTGGTTCCCGCAAAGTACGGGTAGTAATTGTTTGATGCCACCCTACACTGGAACCCATATGGGGTATCAAGTGACAAATAGGAGTATGTGATTGGAGGGGTTTTTTCCTGTATTGAAACAAGATCTCTCAAGGTATTTCTCTCGAGCCATGTTTTGTAGGTGACAAATCTGAGGAATTGTCACAGATTGAAGGTTTTTGAATTAATTGAGAAACTTAACAGTGTCAAGTCACCGGGACCAGATGACATTCACCCAAGAGTTCTGAAAGAACTCAAATGTGAAATTGTGGAACTATTAACTATGGTTTGTAACCTGTCCTTTAAATCCGCTTCTGTACCCAATGACTGAAAGATAGCTAATGCAACGCCAATATTTTAAAAGGGCTCTAGAGGTGATCCCGGCAATTACAGACTGGTAAGTGTAACATCAGTTCCGAGCAAAATAGTTGAAACAATAGTAAAGAATAAAATTGTCAGACACATAGAAGAACATAAACTGTTGGCCAAAAGTCAACATGGTTTCTGTAAAGGGAAATCAGGTCTTACTAATCTATTAGAGTTCTTTGAAGGGGTCACAAACACGTGGACAAGAGGGATCCAGTGGACATAGTGTACTTAGATTTCCAGAAAGCCTTTGACAAGGTCCCTCACCAAAGGCTCTTATGTAAATTAAGTTGTCATGGGATAAGAGGGAAGATTCTTTCATGGATTGAGAAATGGTTAAAAGACAGGGAACAAAGGGTAGGAATAAATGGTCAATTTTCAGAATGGAGAGGTTGAACTTGTGGTGTTCCCCAAGGGTCAGTCCTAGGACCAATCCTATTCAACTTATTCATAAATGATCTGGAGAAAGGGGTAAACGGTGAGGTGGCGAAGTTTGCAGAGGATACTAAACTGCTCAAGATAGTTAAGACCAAAGCAGACTGAAGAACTTCAAAAAGATCTCACAAACCTAAGTGAAATGTCAAATGAAATTTAATGTGGATAAATGTAAAGTAATGCATATTGGAAAAAATAACCCCAACTATACATACAATATGATGGGGGGGGGGCTAATTTAGCTACAACTAATCAGGAAAGAGATCTTGGAGTCATTGTGGATAGTTCTCTGAAGACGTCCATGCAGTGTGCAGCGGTAGTCAAAAAAGCAAACGGGATGTTCGGAATCATTAAAAAAGGTTAGAGAATAAGATGGAGAATATCTTATTGCCCTTATATAAATCTACGGTACGCCCACATCTTGAATACTGTGTACAGATGTGGTGGTCTCATCTCAAAAAAGATATACTGGCATTGGAAAAGGTTCAGAGAAGGGCAACTAAAATGATTAGGGATTTGGAATGGGTCCCATATGAGGAGAGATTAAAGAGGCTAGGACTTTTCAGCTTGGAAAAGAGGAGACTAAGGAGGGATATGATAGAGGTATATAAAATCATGAGTGGTGTGGAGAAAGTGAATAAGGAAAAGTTATGTTCCCATAATATAAGAACTAGGGGCCACCAAATGAAATTAATGGGCAGCAGTTTTAAATAAAAGGAAGTTCTTCTTCATTCAGCGCACAGTCAAGCTGTGGAACTCCTTGCCTGAGGAGGTTGTGAAGGCTAGGACTATAACGGGGTTTAAAAGAGAACTGGATAAATTCATGGAGGTTAAGTTCATGAATGGCTATTAGCCAGGATGGGTAAGGAACGGTGTCCCTAGCCTCTGTTTGTCAGAGGGTGGAGATGGATGGCAGGAGAGAGATCACTAGATCATTACCTGTTAGGTTCATTCCCTCTGGGGCACCTGGCATTGGCCACTGTCGGTAGACAGGATACTGGTCTGGATGGACCTTTGGTCTGACCCAGTATGGCCATTCTTATGTTCTTATTTGGGTGGCCCATTCAATCATGCTATCTACTTCTCTGGTGGAGTGTCCTAGTTTGGTGAAGGAGGTTTTAAGTATGCTAAGGTGTATATCCTGGATTTTCCTCTTGGAGCATACTCTGTGATATCTGAGTGCCTGGCTGTAGATAACAGATTTCTTTGTGTGTTTGGGGTGGTTACTGGACCTGTGAAGGTAGGTGTGGTGATCTGTGGGTTTCTTGGATACAGTTGTCTATAGCATTCCTTTGATGAAGCTGATGTCTGGAAATTTGATGCTGGCACAGAAGTGCCCTAGAGAAAGTTTGATTGATGGGTGGTGGTGGTTGTTGAAGTAGTGGTGGAAGGATATAAGGGTGTTTAGGTCATCTGACCAGAGGCTGAAAATATCATTGATGTATCTTGGGTATATATATATATTTT